ATACTGTGCTATTTTATATGCAGAATAGATAATTTGGGAGACTGGGCTTTATGAGGAGTACTGTGTCGTTAGGATTGCAGGAAGACTACACTATGCAGATGACACCACCTGGCTTGCTAAAACAGAGACAGACCTGAAGCACTTGCACTCAAGGACTGTAGTCTTCAATATGGACTGAAGCTCAATATCAAGAAGACAAAGATACCCCTGGGCCAATTGGCAGCACCATGATAGATGGGGAAGAGATTGAGGTTGTTAAAAAGTACAGCTTGCTTGGATTCACAGTCTACAGTTTTGGCACCAGTAGTTGGGAAAACAAAAGACAAATTGCATTGGGGAAATTTGCTGTCAGGGACCTTTCCAATGTATTGAAAAGCAACAATGTCAGTCTAGAGACTAAGATGCACCTGATCCAGGCCATGATCTTAGCAATTACTTGCTATGCATTAGAGAGCTGGACAGTGACTAAGGAAAACAAAAGAATTGATGCCTTTGAGTTGCAGTGCTGGAGAAGAGTCTTGAATATACCACAGACTGTCAAAAAAAAAACAAATAGGTCTGTCTTGGAGAGGGTGAAACCAATTTTCTGCTTGGAGGCAATGATTTTGAAGCTCCACCTCACATACTTTGGGCAAGTGGCCAGGAAGGACCAATCCTTGGAGAAGAGCATCATGCTTGGAAGGGTGGAGGGACAGCTGAAGAGAGGAAGACCCCAGATGAGATGGATTGATAGAGTAACTGGGCGATGGGGGTAGGTGTGTGGGAGTCATTGAGACTGACTCAGGTCAGGGCAGGCTTCAGAGCTGCTGTACATATTGCATCCGAGGTGATTCAACAGCACATAACAACAACAGCAACATATTACAGTGATGGCCCATCAGCAGTTTTCACTTGGATGTGCATAAGGCTGATAAAATTCTCACCTGTCTTTTCAATCATGGTTTTTTTAATTCTTAGGAATTGCAGGACACCCCGGTCCAAAAGGCAACCCAGGTGTTCCAGGGATACCTGGCTTAAAAGGTCTCCAAGGGCTGCCAGGACCCCCAGGACCCCCAGGTAAGAATGAATGATATATCTCTTAATAGAATTATCATGCTCAAGTTGGTTCAAGATTGAAATGTACTAAAACTTGTTTCAGGATTTACCAAGATGAACATGAATTTTGGGTCTGAGGGTTCCAGGAGACAGTCACTTCTGAATTAAACCAGAAGGAATGTACTTAATATGTTGTTGTTTTTGATGTTGTTGTTGTTGTTGTTGTTGTTAGGTGCCATGGAGTTGACTCTAATTCATTATCATCCGTGTATAGCAGAGCAAGCTCCCGTGCAGTGCTGCGCCGTTCTGTGCTGTGCGCAGGCCGTTATTACAGTCCCTGAGCCAGCCCATCTGGTTGAGGATCTGCCTTGGGTTTTTCACTGACTATCTTCCCAGCATGGTTTCCTTTTCCATGAACTGACCCTTCCTGATAACATGTCCCAAGTATGTGTGACTTTGCTTGTAAGGAACTCTGCCTGAGTTTCTTCCAGGAAAAATGTGTATGTTTCTTTTGGCAGTACATGGTAAGTGCTTTTTCACCCCCTTGGTTCCTAATACAGCTATCCTGTATTAACTATTAAATATTGCCTAATTGTTAACCTACAGGAAATTACAATTTTTACTCAAAATTTTTAAATATCTATGTTGTTCTGTTCCATCAAGTCAGAACTGACCCTTAGCTGACCCTCCGCCAGGTTTTCTGAAGCAGTTAATTACATGGGAGGAGATTGCCCCTCCTTCTTCTATGAAGCAGCTGGTGGATTCGAACTACATGCCTTCCAGATTGTAGTGAACATTCTTACCAATAGACCACCAAAGCTTCGTATTATAAATTATTATCTATTGTAATAGTCCATCAGAAATTAAAATTAGATACTGCTTAGTGTTTTTCTGATTGGTCTTGTTTTATGTTTTGGTTTTCAAGTGATTGAATTTGCAAAGTAATTTTTTGACATAATTAAGCAAACCTTACAGCAATGGGCGTGGGCACTGTGGAGATGGGGCGGGATGGTGCAGGGTGGAGGAAGGTTCCGCCCTGTTCTTCAGAGGACTGTGGGCTGTGATCAACTCAGCAACACCTAATACCTATGTCAGCAACAAAACTGGGGGGGAGCTGGGCAGGGAGAAAAGTGCAACAATGAATGAATGGAAATCCAAAATCTCTGTAAATGTTCATTAAAACTATTAAAATAAAATGGGGAAAAAAACCCAGGTTAAACCAAAAGAATCACACCCACTGCTCTCAAACGAACTCCTCCTCATAGAGCCCTGCAGGACGCAGTAGAACTGGGCTTCCAAGGCTCTACATCTTCCTGGGAGTCAGTTCGTAAATCTCTCTCCCATGTAGCAGCTGCAAAGTTCAAACTGCTTACAGTTAACAGTAGACAATAGATAGATAGATAGATAGATAGATAGATAGATAGATAGATAGATAGATAGATAGATAGATAGAGATGGATAGACGGATAGACAGATAGACAGACAGATAGATATAGATAGATAGATGTATAGATAGATAGATAGATAGATAGATAGATAGATAGATAGATAGATCACACTGTCCCATCAGAGAACCTAACAAAACATGGCAACAAAGCTTCATATTAAATTGGAAATGCAGCAAAATTTGTAGAACTATAAGTAGAAACCTATCAGAGAAGGAAAATGCAAGTATTTGTCACTGAAAAAGAAATGGAAAAGTGGTATAACTATACACCATGTCAGAGGTGGGGAACTTTTCAGACCTGGGAAAGCCAGGAGATGCTGTCAGGTTTTGCTTCTCCTACATTTCATTGTATTTTCCTCTTTCCGGGGATGGTCCTCCTTCTCTATTAGCACAAGTCCTGGGATGATTTCAGTGACTCAACTTCAAGCCTACTACTAATAATAATCCTTCTCCAAGTTTACATTATTTAGCTAGTCAGTGCCCTTATCTGAAGGCAGTGGTGTTGTTCTGAGATTCTATCAGGTGGAGTCTGGTGCAAAAACTGCCTGGCCCTTTGCCGCCCTCAGAATTGTCCTTGTATTTGAGCCATTGTCTCACTGGAGGTCTTCCTCTTTCACTGACCCTGTCCTTTTCCAGGGCTGCAGCCCTTCTCCGGGGAGTGGTCCCTTCTGAGAGCATGCTCAGTACGTAAGAGCGGAAAGTCCCACCATCCTCCTTCCCATCCTCCCGAGCCTTCTGACTGTGCTTCTTTTAAGACACATTCATTCATTTCTTCTGGAAGCCCATGCTGCATTTAATATTATTTGCCAACACCACAATTCAGGCAACTCTATTAGCTTAGTGCTAAGGAGTTCCTTGCCAACCCAATGGCAGACAGTTCAAACCCACCAGCTTTCCCATGGGACAAAGATGGGCAGTCTCCTCCTTTGCAAATTACAGCCTCTCAAAATCCACTGGAGGGTCAAGTATGAGTCTCCTCTGACTTTATGACAATGGGTTTCAAGTTTGAGAACACCATAATTCATTGCTGTTGCTGTTGTTATTGTAATGTTGCCAAAGGAGGACAGAACACAGTGCAAGAAAGACATTTTATTGAGGAGAAACTGCCAGGCTGGCTCTCAAGCCAAAAGCCAGCCCTCATTAAAAGTTAGGGAGGGGTTTTATATTCTCTTACAAGGAACTTGGGGAAGGGGATGCTCACAGATGTTTTTTACAAGGTAGGGAAGTGGGCTGGGGTCTCAGATAACTATTTTGGGGAAAGGAGGTAGAGCAGTTTCACATCCTTGACAGAGAGAAATTGCACAGCTCGTGCTTCTTGTGATTGGATCATTTCAGGGGCCATTCTGGGAGAGGAAGGAAAGGATGTGCAGTCCTAATAGTTATGTGCTCTCTAGGCTCATACTTCATAAGGATTATTCTTTTGCCTCCCTTACTCATTGTTTAGCATTTGCTTACATGTGAGGTGACTGAAATTACTATGGCTTGGGCCAGGCCCACCTCAGCTCTCAGAGTGACATCTTCACCCTTTAACACGTTAGAGAAGTCTTTTGACACAGATTTGCCAATGCAAGGCTGCATTTGATTTCTTGAGAAGGATGGGCAGTCTCCTCCTGTGCAATTAACTGCTTCTGAAAACCCACCAGAGGGTCAGCTGTGGGCCGATTCTGACTCTACGATACACAACAACAACTACTACTTCTACTACTACTGCTTCTTTGGGTATTATGTGGATTCAAGTAAAATGAAATCCTTGACATCATCCAGCTTTTCTTTTTTTATGATGATACTGCTTGCTGGTCAAGTGGGGAAGATTTTTGTTTCCTTGCTGTTGAGATGTCATCCATACTGAAGACTTACATGGTCTTTGACCTTCAGCAAGGAGTACTTCAGGGCCTCTTTGCTTTCAGCAGGGGTGTCATTTGCATACTGTAAGTTGTTAATGTGTCTCCCTCCAGTCAACCGAGCAGTTACATAAGTATCTGACCAAGGTGTTATGATTACTCTGTATTCTTTCATCGTGCAGGTAACAGATATGGAGCATGCGCATGCCCAGAAACTGTGACTGTGTAACTCTGTTTCTGTTCTCCAGGTCTCAGAGGAGACCCAGGCAGCATTGGGAATCCTGGGGAGGCAGGGCCACGTGGCATGCCAGGAAGCATGGGGAACATGGGAATGCCAGGTGATGTATAAGGTCTACAAGGACTCCTGAACGTACAGGAGTGTGCAAGTTCATGGTTCTAGATTTTCCATGTTGTTATTTCTTTTTTCCACATTTCTACTTGATAGAAAGTCTGTGGAACATTCCAATTTGCATTTAGACAAACGTGCTCTGTGTAACTATGTGAGTGCCAACAGAATAAGTTCTTCTGTTGTGTGTGGAACGGAGGAAACAATCACACACGAACCCCATTCATTTTAAATCCCTATTGATGTATTTATGATTTTGAAGAACTAGCCTCATGGGAGAAGGTGGCTGGGTGCAAAGATCAGAAATAGCACAGTTTACTATCTCCGTGTTTAGCTACTTTACCTGATTTCTCTCCATTATTTCAGGCCCCAAAGGAAATAAAGGGAGTCTGGGATTCCCAGGTCTAGCCGGAAGACCAGGCGTTCCAGGTGTGCCTGGTCCCCAAGGAGACAAGGGAGAGGCGGGTTATTCAGAAGGTGCACATCCAGGACCGCAGGGACCAAAGGTATAGACCTCGGGAACACACGGGTGTCAATGCTCGAGTACTTTACTCACCTGGTCACCTCTCTTACTCAGTCATCCCTGACCCACAGTGACCCTCCATCAGGTTCCCAAGGCTATAAATCTTAATTGAAGGAGACTGGCCCTCGTTCTGCCTGGGGGCCACTGGAGGATTTGAACCTCCAGAGACAAGCAGTCTTTTGGCTCACAGCGCAACACACAACGCTCTGTGCCACCAGCACTCCCAGTGGTGCAATAAAGCCCTATAAATTCCGGCAAGCATCTGAAGTCAGTGTGGGCGGAGGAAATAGAAACAATTTCTGTTTTCTTCTACATGAAAGAGTCATCTGGGTTTTGCTGGTTTTTTTAAAAAAAATACTTGAGGGGAGCTCTGGTGGCCTAGTGGCAAGAAGCTGCACTGCAATCCCAGAGGTACCCAGTTGGAATCCACCAGATGCTCTGCTGGAGAAGGACGGACAATCTCCTCCTGTACCAGTCAGTTCTGATTTGACGGTACACACACACAAAAAAAATTAAAATAAATAAATAAATAAAATAAAAATTTTTTTAGAAAATCCTTGAGGCTCTGGTGGGGTGATCCATGGTGTATTGTGATGCTAAGAGAAAAGGTTGATTGTCTCTAGTAGCTGAGATCCAGAAGCTGCCCCAGGAGAGAAAGACAGACATCACCTGCCTTGGAGATTTATGGCCTGGGAAGCTCAGGAAGGGTGGTCGTCATTATTTTGAGTTCATATCCACAGCTGAAGATGCCTGGCTAATCCATGGCCGTCACCCCCGCCTCCCACCCTGCTGCTGTCAGTGTCAGCTCAGGGCCACCCTTGTCTGGGTTTCAGTTCTACAGGTCTTTTTGGGAAGAGACTTCCTTATCTTTCTCCTGCAGAGTGACTGGTGGACCCAAACCATGAACCTGTGAATTAGCAGCTCAGCATTTAACTTACTACTCCACCAGGGTACCTTCTGAGTCCACCATGCCTGTTATTTCAGCCCCCAATTGCTCATCACTGCCCCTGCAATTTTAGTGCTGCCAGTAGAGGGCAGTGATCAGCCCCCGACCCATTACTTCTGGGTGATCCAGACTCAGGACTCAGGCAGGCAGAGAGGGCAAAGTTCAGATCTGTTGTTCTTAGGGTTGCTGTGAGTCACAACTGACTCAGTGGCACCTAAAAACAATAACAAGGACCCTAGGAGGGAGTTCTTATGGCCTAGTGATAATGAATTGTACTCCCATCCCAAAGGCAAGCAGTTCAAATCCACTAGCTGTTCTATAGGAGAAAGATGGGCAGTCTCTTCCCATGTGACCTGTAACCTCTGAAAACCCTCTAAAGGGCTTGCTATGAATGAGCTCTGACTCTGCTGCATGTAACAAGAAGCGGTGGTGGTGGTGGTGGTGGTGGTGGTGGTGGTGGTGGTGGTGATGGTGATGGTGATAGTGGTGGTGTGTGCCATCGAGTCAAAACCAACACACAGCTGACCTTCCAGCAGGTTTTCCGAGGCCTTTAACCCCACAGGAGGAAGTGGCCCATACTCCTCCTGCAGAGCAGCAGGTGGATTCGAACTTGAGAATCTCAGCTTCTTACCACTAGGCCACCAGAGCTCCCTTAGGATCATAAAACAGAGTAGAACTGTCCAGGGAGTTTTCCAAAACTCTAATCTTCACAGAAGCTGATTACCTTCTTGTTCTCCATAGCAGCTACTTATGGGTAGTTCAGATAGCAGAGAGGTGGACTCAGAAAGCAGAGTGCTTAAACCATTGTGCCACCAGGGCTCCTTGCAGCTGTCATAGGTCCACCCAGTCAGAGAGGGCATGTGTGTGCCCCGGTGATCCACAGTGAACAGTCTGCTCTGGACTCAGCTCACACAGACGTAAGAGAAACTTCTGAGCCTTGTCAGCCACTTCAACCAGCAGAATGCATGAAACACAGTGAGCTGAATTGATCTTGCAAGTAAGCAGTGATTTCAACAGAGCAGTTCATTGTGATCAGCTGCTGTGGAGATTCTGCAAGCCACTGTCAAATGTGCATGCGCTGATCCAGCATAAAGCTCATGTGCAGATCTGATGGAGGGGTTTTAACATGCACTTGACCTACATGTATCCTCATCCACGGTACCTGTGGACACACATACACTCAGGCTAGTCATTCTTTCTTCCTTCCAATTAGTTACCATGATTTGTAAGTGTGCACATCTGTGATTATGTCATACTAACCTCCGCACGGGGCTCTGAGGCTTCACAAAGACCAAAGCCAACCAATTGGCATTGAGTTGACTGTGACTCAGGCGTGTGCGGTGACCCAGGTTTATGTGTCAAAACAGCACTTTGACTGATAAAGTTTTCAGTCGCCACATTTTTAGAGACAGAATGTCAAGCCTGCCTGCCTTCCAAGCAGCCCTGGGTGGACTCAAACCTCCAGCCTTTCGTTAACAGTTTGTGCCATCTGGGGACTCCTTCCAGGAAGGCAAGGACTGTGCCTGTCTTGGTTACTTCTGTCTTCCTTGCAAAAGTAGACTTCCTGGATGTGAAGTCTTTGCGGTCATTGACAGCTCGTGTTTAAAAAGGGCCCACACTTTTTTAATGCTCTTTTGTTACTGTCTTAGAATTTGTAAATGAAAAAAAAAATAACAAGGAACCTCAGATTTTGAGTTTTCATTTTGCACTGGACCCTGAAAATCATGGTAACAGTCCTGTTCCCGGCACCTAGCTCAGTGTGGACACACAGCAGACACTTGATATGCATTATTGGCTGAAAGAGTAAAAGATGTGAATGAAAGAATAAGTAAAACATAATTGACAATGAATTGTTATCTCATAAGAATTTTAAAGGCATTTGTCTGAATTTAAGGGCGATCCAGGTTTGCCAGGTGACATGGGAGAGAAAGGAGAACGAGGGTCCCCCGGCCCACCTGGACACTCAGGGCCTGCTGGTCCCCAGGGCATCCCTGGTCATCCCGGAAGTCCCGGCCTCCCAGGTGAGCCTTGGCATAAGGATTCTGAAAGCTTCTGAGCCTTGAACACCTCCTCAGATCATCCTAGTAAACCTAAAACTATTTCCGCCTTTGTACTAACATTGCTTTTCTTCACCTTTGATCTTCAGTTTCGTCTTAGGTAGGCACACTGTGTTCACTAGGTGGTGGTTGGGTGCCATCGAGTCGGAACTCACTCATAGCTCAACCACCAGCAGGTTTCAAAGCCAATAAATTGCATAGAGGAGACTGCCCATCTTTCTCCCATGGGGCAGCTGGTGGATTTGAACTGTGTGCCTTTGGGATTGCAGGGCAGTTACTTACCACTAGGCCACCAGCACCAAAAGGACCTCAATTTTATTAATGAGCCCATGAGGTGGACTAAAATCTCAGAGCCTACTGCCACACAAAAAACCTCTGAGGTCTTTCAAGTGGTTCAGTCAAAAGAAAGAAATGTTTGTTGGGAACACGTAGGCCTGTGTTCTAATAATTTTTTCCCTATCCTGTCATGTTCAGAAGGGTGGACGGACAGCACAAGAGAGAGAGACCCTAGATGAGATGGATTGATATAGTAACTGGGGCAGTGGGGTTGGTGTGTTGGCATTAGTGAGACTGGCTCAGGACAGGGCAGGATTCAGAGCTGATGTACATGGGGTCACTATACATCGCAGGTGACTAAGCCAATAACATTGTATGACAGGTTTGGAAGCAGAAGTGGCATCCACTTCCTAAACAACACGCCTCTGGAAACTCTATGAACTTTTATAAATGTTGATAGTTGTAGAGGGGCTTCAGGCCTTTTGCTCACAGGGTCGCTATGAGTCTTGCTCAACTTGAAGGCAATCATCAACAACAACATCCTAGTTAGCCCTCGTGAGACTTACTCCATCTTCCATGCACACAGGAACTGTGTGTATGTTGACATCAGGTGTCCTTGAGTCAACGATGGGCTGCTAATTTATAATTGATGTTTCCCGTTTTGTTTGGTTTTATTAAAAAAAATTATTACTGTTCCTGGGTTGTAACATCTTCTCATTATTGAAAAGTGACGTTGAAACTGTCTTTTCAAATAGTGAAGCAATGAATAGCTTTGCTGTGAGCCCACAGGGGAATTAGCCAGACCCTGAGTTGGCCTTTTGATTGATGACATACAGCTCTGCACATGGCGTGTGCTCTGCTTCCCTGGAAGAACAGCAGTCGGGACACATGCCTGGGTGACCACTAGCAAGAGCCCTTCCTCGCGTCCCCGTATCCACTGCCGTCAAGTTGATTCCGACTCCTAGGGACCCTGTAAGAGGGAGGGAACGGCCCCAGAGATTTTTCCAGGACTCTGCAGGCACCCCAGCTTTGATTACCTTTCACTTTATTGTGCTTGCAGATATTTTGTTTACTCTCCATTGAAGGGTTTTTGGCAGCTCTGTTCTAAGCAAGTCTGTGGGTGCTGTTTTCCCAGCAGCATTTGCTCACACCGTTCTTCTGTGTCACGTCTCTCACAACATTACAAATGTTCTCCTGAAGCTACCGGAGAATGCCAACATGACTTTTACATGCACTCAGAAACTAAAACATGCGTGTCTCTCTTTCTTGCCATAGTCGTGTTAACTGTCATGGTCAGGAAACCCTTGATGTTTCTGAAGTGTGTGTATCAAGGCTCACAGGAGCAACCCGCCTGCACAGCGGCTGCTGGGTTTAAACACTGACCTGTGTTTAGCAGGCAAACACTCTAAGCACTGTAGCACCAGGGATCATTTGTAAGCACAGCTGACAGTAATAACTGACCATAGCCACCATTGTGTCATTTATCAATAGTGTCTTCTGTTTTTCTCTTTGTCTCCACCTTCTTTTATAGGAACACCGGGTCCCGCTGGTGATGTGGGATTTAAAGGCGTCAAAGGCTTTCCTGGCTCTCCAGGAGCGAAAGGCCCCCCAGGTTTCATTTTCATCCTTCCTCTGATCCCATTTCTTGAAGGGGGCACATTCCCTGCTTGGACTTCAATCTCCTCCCACCTATAGCTCTGAGCAATGGCCGCTCTTAGGCGTTTTTCCTTATCACTCAGTGCCTGAGGTGAAGTGTAAATGTACATCCAGTAGGTTAAATATTCATATTTACCTGATTTGAGGATCTGCCAACCTAGACATTCCATAGCATTAATATTCGGGATATTCTCAGTCTCTTGATCATTTTCACTGTAAGCCTGGCTTCTTAGAACTACAAAAACAAACACGGCTCTTGGCCAGCAGGGCAGTCCCTCCTCTTGACAACCTGGGTTACAGGTTATTAACCTGAGTTCCAGAGAAGAGGGACCCACGGTCTTCCTGTGGCGGAAATCCCCATGCAGCAGATCGCACAGCTCCTTGTCTGTGGAGCCACTGAGTGAACCTGAACGGGAAGCGTCTGGATCATCCGTGGTCGTGCCACCAGGACCCGTAGACAGAACTGCAGTTCTGAGAATCGGGCACCATAGCAGGATCCCACGCAGCTCTTTGATTGTCACATTAAAGCATTTGATAGGAAACAAGGCATTTCTTTGAGGTCCATGTAATTTTTTTATAAGACCACTAAGGCCAGGGAAGGGTTCAGAGCTGCTGTACTTAGGGTCGCTACACATCACAGGCCACTCAAAGGCACATAACAAATAACTAACTATGACAGGTTTAGAAGAAACAGGGAGGGCATCCACTTCCTAAACAGCATGCCTCCAGAAACTCTGTGAACTTTGATAAATGTTGATATTTGTAGAGGGGCTTCAGGCCTTTTGCTCATAGGGTCTCTATGAGTCGTGCTCAACTCAAAGGCAATGAACAATAGAATTATTAAAAGCTAATGAAAGATTTACATGCAGATACATTCATTCTTAGACAGTTACCCGGACTAGGAAAGGAAGGAGAGGGAGGTAAAAAGAATAAATAGTTAATAAGAGTATTAACATGGGGGGAAAGAAAAGCCGTAGAATATAAGGGGATGATCCCATGTTGTTTATATTGTAACCAATGTTATGTAAGCTTTAAACTTTGTTTAGGCCCCCCAGGATTCCCAGGACCTCCTGGACCCGTGGGTGTGAGAGGTAGCCAAGGCCGCGATGGAATTCCTGGTCCACCTGGAGAAAAGGGAGAATCGGGTACAAACTTGTTCATGGTCTTTGATCCAGCTGTTTCCTTTGGGATAGAATTACAGTGACATAGAAACACCTTGTCTGAGGATTCTTCTCTGGTGGAACTGATGAGCTTTAACAAGTTCTTGGGATGCATAGTTAAAACTTCCTTCTTTTCCTAGAAAAAGTGCAAGCAAGTGCAGTATGTCTATATTATGAAATTAGCTGTGTATAAACCACACATGTGAAGATGCCAATCTTCTCTCTTCCAGGTTTGCTGGGGGCACATATGGGGCCGAAAGGGAGCCCAGGTGCTAAAGGTGAGTTTATCTTCCCCGAACACGATGATACACATCTTCAAGGGCAGAATCTGGTTTCACGTGCCTCACATATAAAATAGGCTTCACATATTAAAGGATCTTCAATAGTGACAGAAGATACGTATATTCCTATATTTCACCTTAATGTGTTTGTTTATGATCTAATTTTGAAATTGTCTTCTATGTAAGCCTTTCAGCATTAAAAGGATTCACATTTGTTGTTGTTTAAACGTATTAATTCCTGAAAGTAAGGAAGGGCTTTCAGGTGACTTAATGGTTAGGAGTTATGCTGCCCACCCAAAGGCACGTGGTTCGAGTCTACCATGGGAGAAAGATGGACAATCTCATTTACAGCCTCTGAGAACACACTGGGGGGTCAGCTATGAGGCATATGGCACATACAACAACTTTATGCAGAAGTCTGATCAACATTTTAGCTCAGGACACTTTGCAATTTTGCATCCCTGAATGGTGGAAAATGCTTCAGCTACTAATTAGAAGGTTGGAAGTTCAAGGCTAGTACAAACAAGGATTTTAAAAATGAGACAGCCAAGCCTTGTGGTGATAGAACCGTGTTGCTGAGGTCAGGTGGATGGTGAGCCTCTTTACTTCCTTCATGAGCCTCTTTACACACAGACCTTGTGACTCTCCACACTCCTGCCGAGGTGCGAGTGCCATTGTAGGCCACTCCTACAATGTACAGGAATGATTGTGTGAAACGCAATATAAAGGAAGGAATGTGTGGACCGTAAATGAAACACAGTGTAGATGAATGTTGTATGAAAATCAATATAAAATTTAAAAAAATTTTAATAACTCTGACAAACATCTTTTTTTTTTGCTGGAAGAACAATATTATTTCACTTATTGTATACAGACATTCTTAACATAGTAAAAGAAAATATTTCCAAAATGTCCCCATTTTCTTTTTATTATTATTATTAATTTTTTTTTTTTTAATTTTGTGTGCATGTACCGTCAAATCAGATCTGACTGGTACAGGAGGATATTGCGCCTCCTTCTCCTGCAGAGCGTCTGGTGGATTCGAACCGTGTTCCTCTGGGATTGCAGTGCAGCTTCTTGCCACTAGGCCACCAGAGCTCCCCTATTATTATTAATTTTAATGAACGTTTACAGAGACTTTGGATTTCCATTCATTCATTGTTGCATTTTTCTCCCCGCTCACCCCCTCTCTCTCAGTTCGCTCTTCTCTTTGAAAAGTTCTTGAGGTCATTGGTGGAGACTGATGAACGCTTACTTTTTTCAGGAGCCAAAGGAGACAGAGGAGCCCCGGGTTTGCCCGGCTTGCCAGGCAGGAAAGGAGCAGTGGGCGATGTGGGGCCTCGAGGACCCCCTGGTACAACAGGATTCCCAGGGCCACCAGGTTCCCCAGGTGCAATCATTCCTGGCCAGAAAGGAAACCGAGGCCCACCAGGCTCACGAGGAGCCCCAGGTAGGGTGCTGTCTTTTAAATATAATAGAGGAGCATAAGAAAAGTCAGTAAAAAAAAATTTTTTTTAAAAATCAGTCAAGAAAAGCTTTCAGCTTTCCTCCACCCTCACCCCATTGCTATTCTGCTTATAGCTGCGTGCTCTCACATAGATGCTATCAGGATGGCTGATGATATTTGAAAATTGTTGTTGTTGTTTTTATGTGCCATCGAGTTGCCTGTGACTCATAGTGACCCTGTGTACAGCAGCTCTGAAGCCTGGCCTGGCCTGAGCCAGTCTCACTGATTCCAACACACTGACCCCAAGATTAGTGTGCATCCCTAACTCACAGTCCTACAGGGAGAGATGGCACCCAGCCAGCCCATATTGATTGCACTCCTGTTGTGAGGCAGGTCCTGGTCCCATCATTTGTCCCTCCATCAGGGAGTGAGGGTGTCAGGGGCTCCACTAGCATTCTCTCCCACTGTCTTTACTCTGAGCCCATCACGCTTTACAAAGTCAAGGCTGTTTGAGGCAGCCAGAAGGGGCAGGGTTCACAATCACCGCTAGGACTTGCCCAGTCTCTTCATTGACAATACTGACGGCCTCTAAATTCAGGTGAACCTGGCCCACCTGGACCTCCAGGGAGTCCCGTAAAAGGCATAAAGGGAGACAAAGGATTTATGGGCTTGCCTGGCCCCAGAGGTCTGCCTGGAACCGTGGGTGACAAAGGGCCCCCAGGTCATCCGGTAAGTGCAGAAAATCATTTTGACATCTTAAGCCTTGTTGATCGGTTGTCTAGGTCAGATACACTTGTAGGCGGAGTGTGGGGTAAGAGTAAAGTCCATTTGCGACATTTCCCTGCACTGTGTGCCTAAGAGAAGGCAGAACCCGGAAGACTTGCTCATATGTCCTCTTGTCAAGGATTTTAAACTCGCTGGTATTTAGTTTCTAGGATTTACCCTCCTTTTCATTTCTCCCCTCCCCCAAAATGTTAAGATTTTATTTACAAAGCTTCTTTGTTGTACTGAAAATAAAAATGCTGTTACAATCTCAGAGTAACTGGTAGCCACGAATGGTTGAGACTCACCGATCACAGCGACCCAGGCTACAGCAAGTCTTACACAAAAACCTAACGACACTTACAATTTTGTTGGGGCAACGTCGCCACACTTGGTGATGGAGTTCCAAGAGAAACCAAACAGGAAGGTGAAATGTCACAGGAACTATTCTTTGGCTCTTTGGGTGGATGGGTGTCCTGGGGGTTGTATCACAGTGACTTTTTATTTCTTTTAAACAGTCACCAAATCCATATGAGCAGTCCAACCAACATTGAACAGTTCTTTTTTTGTGTGAGTTATCTGGGGTCTTAATCATCTTCATTATCTGTTTTTCTCTTCCTCTTCTCACTTTGCCCACTTTCTTCCTCACCTTTGTCTCCATCCTCTTCCTCAGCTTCTTCATCAACTTCTCCATCATGGCCAAATTCTTCTTCCTCCCCACCGACTTCATCTTCTTCCCCTTCTCCATCTTCGTCTTCTTCATGAAAATATTCCTTGTCATTATTTTCTCAATGTGAGGTGTTGTCTCACCTCCACTCCACAGGCTTCTCTCACGTTCTGCATGGTTCTTTGAAAACTCCAGTCCTGTGATTATACCAGAAGTCCTGTGGGCACTGTGGGATGTTTGGAAACTTGAACTTATGAACATCTCCCAGCGCTCACATTGTTGTAGGAGTCTGTTTTTCAGAAGAAAGATCGTTCTTTGTGAAAATCTGAACGGGCTTAGAGCCCTCCAAAGTCCCCTCCTTGCAGGCAACACCTCTTTCACCCATGAATTTGACCTTGGCACCAGGCCCCGTGTCCTGGACACATGATCAGACCAGACTACAGATACCTTGGAGTCTGTGACCAGATGATCCTGTTTTCGCCCCTCCTCTTTTGTTAATTTCATATCATTTTGTCCAAGCAGTGAAGTGTGGTTCCTTCTATGGTCTTCCTGCTCAAGGACAGCTTCCAGTCAGTCTTTAATTTTTCTTTCATTTTTATGACGTTTAGCTCACATTAAGTAATTGCATTCTCTTCAATTCATAGGGACAGTATCGGTAGGTGGGTAGAAAGACAGACAGACAGACAGAGCTGCCACTCAGTCTTCTGTAAGACTCTGGCCAGCCGTCATCATGGTGTTGACTCCAGCTCGGAAGACCCCAGGTGCCCCAGAGTAGACCTGGGCCCCATCAAGCTTTCAGCAGCTGATTTCCTGGAACTAGATTATCAAACCTTACTTCTGAGGTGCAGACTTGAACTTCTAACGTTTCTGTCAGAAGTGGAGGCTCTTCACCACTTGCACCACTCATGGATTTCACCCCTTGACAAGGGGCAATTTCTGACTCCACAATTTATAATACTTGTTAGGTCTCACAACTCCATAAAGGCTCTGTTGTTTTGTGAAACTTGCCACTACACATCCAAATTTTCGTTCTGAATGTCTGGTGACTGGGCTTCCCGAAAACCTGGCAATTCCATTTAGAATACAGATTAATGTGTTCAATTAAAAAAAAGTATGTTAAAAAATATGTTTCTTCCCTCATAAATGGTCTTCCCCCCCACCCCACCCCCCACTGAGATGATAGTTCCGGGGGGAGGGGGGTCTAAGTGGCAGAAAGTGACACATTCAAAAGGAAGAGAATAATGATGTCTGTCATTAGTTTGTATTCACCCAGCAAATAGTGAATCCCACCTCTTTTCAAGAGAACGTCTGTGAATATTGTAAAATTTGAGATTTACCTTGTTGTTCTGTTCCCTTCTATTTGAAACATAGGGACCGCCAGGTGCCCGCGGTCTGCCAGGACTCAGAGGCGATCCTGGGTTCCGTGGATTTCCTGGAATGCAAGGTAAATCGTCTTTGTGCACAGTGCTTTGGGTGCAAATACAATGACTGAGACTCAGGTTCTTTCCTGTTTGGGTTTTACTATATATGTGTGTGCTATTTTTTATAGTTTCTTAAAAAACTGAAATATTTCAAAATTCCTATTCCAAAAGACTATTCACCCAACAGTTCTGGGGGGAGTGTTGTTGTTAATTGTTTGCTGTAAGTTGGAGCCAACTCAGAGCTGACCTGTCCATAAGTTTTTGGAGCCTGTAAATCGTCTATGTATGTGGAGGTTACCTATCTTACTCCTGAAGGGCAGCTGGTGGATTTGAACCACTTGTCTTTGGGATGGAAGCATAACTCCTTACTAGGCCACCAGAGCACCCTGGGAGAGTGAAGAAAGGATAATACACATTTGATGTGTTTGTACTTTTGGGAAGCAATTGTATTATGTTTTTATTTTAAAAACATATGAAGCACTGCAAAACAAGGAACTCATGAAATATTACACAAGATAGGTGACCCTGGAGGACATTATGCTGAGTGAAATATCTCAGTCATAAAAGGACAAATAATGCATAATGTCACTGTTATAAAATAGGACTGACATGAGGGTTGGGGGAAACTAAGAAAAGAGGGAATAAATAATGTACACTGCATTGAAACAGAGGAGGGAAAGAACTGTTTAAAAGGGATATATGATTAGGTATTATTTGCATGATAACAGTCTAGAATAAGAGCTGCATAGTAAAGTGGACTGGGTAGAGGGGAATTGTACAACAATGAAATAATTCTTTTTTAAAGAGAAAAGCAAACTGGCAGGGGGCGGGGGACAGGGAGGAAAATGTGCAACAATGAATGAATGGAAATACAAGTTCTCTATAAACTTTCATTAAAATCCCAGTTAAAACAAAAAAAAAAACCTTAAGTTTTTAAGTTTATTACATTCCCAGTAAAAGCATTAGCTTTCAGAAAATAGTTCTGAAGTCTTCCATTAGTATTTCATGACTTTGAATAAATTTTGTTTTGACAAACAGAAATTTATTCTGTTCCAAGTTAGAAGGCTACTAATCCACATTCAGGGTGTCAGCTCTAGGGGAAGGCCCTCTTTCTGTGTTGTTTCTGGAGGGAAGGCCTCCTCTCCTTTCAGCGTCTTTAGACCCACCGTGCCCTGGAGCCCTCTCTGTACCTTGGTCCCCCCACTGCAAAGGTTCCTAATCACAAGGACGTGGGCTCGGCCAGGCTCACTCACTCCTGGGTAGTTAGTCTATGACTTGAATAAAATTTTAAATATCTGTTCTATTGTCCCAGTTACTTGGTCCTCTGGCATCGTCTTGGTACAGCATAAATCTGTTACCACAGATTTCAAAACCCTTTGCCCTGCTCTCCAGTGGATTCTGACGTACAGCGACCCTCCATCAGGTTTCTGAGGCTGTAAATTGTTATGGATGGATTTGAACCACTGACCCACCACCTGGACTCATAATGGCAGGTGTGATTATTGTTGTTGTGTGTCACTGAGTTGGAACCGGCCATAATTGACCCTCCAGTGGGTTTTCAGAGGCAGTAAATCACCTGGGAAGAGACTGTCCATCCACATCTGATGGATTTGAACCATGTGCATTTGTGTTTGTAGAGCAGCTTCTTCTTACCACAGACCTGGACCCTGTTGTTTTTGCTAGGTGCCATCAAGTACAACTCATAACAACCCCATGAACCCTGTCCCATCTTATGCCATCCTCATCATCTCTGACACACTAGAACCCACTGCTACAGTCACTGTGTATATTCAGTTCTCTCTTAGTCCTCAGAGTAAGACCTTCAGCTATTGTGACAGATGAATCTGCACTTAAAAGTATTTGGAAATCTCCCAAAGAGAAAAGCATTCAGGCCTCTTGTAGTATTTCTATGTACATACAAATATCTTTGTAAAATTCTACTATCAGTTGGATAATTTATAATATTATTGCCAGTTAGCTTTTTTTATTCTGTAACTAGTTAATTGCATTTGTCTGATTATTCTATTTTGTAATATTGAAGTTCTTCTAACCAATCCAGAGATTTTTGTCAATATGATATTGAGATCCTTTAAAACAGTATTTCCCTGACTCAGTGGCACTGGGTAACCTTTTATTCACATAGAAAACCATACTCTTTGTGACCACTTTGTTAGCATACAGCAGAGGAGATGTCCTGCGCTTCTTCTCGGAAGCATTGACAAGAGAAGTTCCTGACTGTGGGCTGTGTGTAAAGTTGGAATAATGATACACTGAGAAAGTAGGTAACCATGACAACCAAGAAGCATCATTCACAGAGGGTCCACAGATGGCAGGGCAGAGAGGTCACTTCTGCCCAGTGACAAAGGTCTCATGGCAGGAAGGAAGAGCAAGGAAGCATGAATGAAATCAAGAAACACAGGGAGGAAGTGAGAAGGCAGTGTTGTTACGCTCTGTGAAATGTCACGAAGGCATTGTGTGTGTAAACTGTTGAATGCAGAATCAAACCTCACTCAAATCACAAAGAAAAAAATGTTTACAATTTCATGTAAAAAAAACTTAAAAAAATCGCAACAAATAATAAATGCTGGTGAGGATGCAGAGAGATTGGAACACTTTATGCATTGCTAGTACCTCTCCAGAGTCCTGGAGAGCAGTGGTCAGTTTAAAGACTAAGATTTGCCTGACTCAGGTTTTTCCTGAATCACTTGCCTTCAGTGAAATAGACCGACCTAGTTACAGCAACAGTGGGCTCAAATGTGTCAGAGATAATGATGGCACAGGGTAGGACAGGGTTCAGATCTGTCATTTATAGAGGCATGTAAATTCCCAAACAGTGACATCTAACTACAAAAAACAGATATGCATCTGAGAGCTGAACAGTAAATAAAGATGACAGAAGAATAATTGATGCCTTTGAACTGCGGTGTTGGGGAAGAGTACTGAATATCCCCATGGACTCCAAAAGAACAAACAGATATGTCTTAGAGAAGATGCAACCAGAGTGTTCCTTGAAGGCAAAGAGGGTGAAGCCTTGTCTTTCATACTTTGGGCATGTTGTTAGGAGAAGCTATTTCTTAGAAAGGGGCTTCTACATGGAAAGGTAGAGGAAGAAAGAGAGGAAGACCTTCATTGAGATGGATGGATATGGTAACTGTGGCAGTTGGCTCCAAGTGTGTACAAGGCATAATTATGGGATAGGTTAGGACAGGACGTTCAGATCTATTGTTCATAGGCTCACCTTGAGTTCCAGATGATTTGAGGGCACCTAACAACAATCCCACTACAAGGAATCTATCCTAAAGAAAACAAAGACACCCAAAGGTGCATGCACCCCCATGTTTAGTACAGCATATTCACAATAGCAAAGAGATGGAAGCATCCCAAATGTCCATCAACAAATAAAAGAAGAGAGAAACTGTGGTATATCCACATGATGGAATATTATGCAGCATCGAAAAACAAAGAAGATCCCAAGAAACCCTGTACAACATGGATGAGTCTAGAGATCATCATGCTAAGGGAGTTAACTTCATTGGGGAAGGTGAGGAGAACAGGAGAGAATGGATAGATAAGGAACATGTCATTGGGAGAGGTAAAGGAAAGGTAATTCTAAAAAGAATTGGAGATATGAGTAACACAACAAACTGATACAGGACATGCATGAGAGAATGAAGCGGGAGTGAGAGGGGTCAAGTGCATAAATGAGTGAATGAAAGCCAATTTCTGTGTAAACTTTCACTCAAATCACAGTTTTTTAAAAAGTAACTTTTAATGTGACTTGTTATTTTATCTAAATTATGAAACTTTACTGTTTCTGAATTTTAAAATAAAGCCAGTTTGGGAACTTTTTCCCTTCAAAATAAACCTCTTAAGATATACATTTCTTAAAAAAAAAATTATATACATTTCTACATCTGTGTGTTTCTTTGCAGACTGGCTAGACATGGCTAAGTGGGTCTGAATGAGATGCCTAGATCCACATGGACATAGAGTTATAGCCATTGCCACAGTGCCCTGTCCAGGATCTGTCCTAAGAGTATGTTGTCAACCTGAAGAACAAGGAAAGCCAGTTTCCTAAGTGGAATCACATTATCTTTTTTTTTTTTCTTTTTCATTTAGGAGAGAAGGGTGATCCAGGATTTCTGGGACTAGCTGGGCCTCCAGGACCAATTGGGCCTCCTGGACCACCTGGTAAAGATAATGCATTACTGTCAAAGGGTCTTTGTGAGTGTGAATAAACTCAGTGGTGATGGGTGAGGATGTGAGGTGGAATTCCCCATAAAGAAGTGGTCCCCCATCAATGAAAGCACCCCTTCTTATGCTTCCGTCAACAGGCGCACGTGGAGACCCTGGCACACTCAAGATCATCTCCCTTCCAGGAAGCCCAGGGCCCCCTGGCCCACCGGGAGGACCTGGGATGCAAGGAGAACCTGGCCCACCAGGGCCACCAGGAAGCCCAGGTGTGCACCTGGCAGTCTGGAGTGGACCCCTAGGCAGTGACTCAACGCTACACCGTAGAGCGCCTTGGAAGCAGAGGGTGCAATGCTGCAGAACACGTTAGACGCTACAGCATTAGCTTACCATTCGTCATGGGATGGGATTCATCATACCCTTCACTAGCAAATAACACCTTGCAATCTCTTGAGGACACCATTGTTACCATCACCGTGATAATATCAGCATGACAAAATAGAAACATGTTAGGGCAAAAAATGTTTTTGTTAAGTTGAGAGTGTATGTATGCCTTGTCTACAACTATTAAGTCTTAGAGTTCCCACTATTTCTAAAGGGTTGCGTGCATACACTTAAGTTTTTTCAATTTATCATTTTCTAACACTTTGTATAGCCTGTGAAGTGAATGGCAAATGCAAATGGGCACTTATTATGAAATCTTTTTCAAATACTGGCCACTAGGCCACCAGCACTCCAGAAAATACTGTTGTTTGGCCAAATCTCTTCAGAGTTCTGAATGGAACTCCTATTCTTGAAGTTTGGCTGGATCACCTGAATGTTGGGAAAGGTATTATTCACTGCCTTCTTCACTGGCTGAATGGAGTGGATTCTGCAAGAGCAGAAAAAGGCCGGCACTGTTTTCACCTGCTGTATTCAGAAGTTCATGGTTCATTTTTTTGAGGGTATTTTTTTCTGTGAAGTGGGGCTAACAAGTTGAGTGAATAATCCTTTCGTTTTCATTCCATATGAATAGTTTGTGACATTGTTGGCTTTTCTCTAGGACCCTGTGGGCCAGCAGGCGTGCCAGGCACGGACGGAAAGCCTGGGACTCCAGGACCAGCTGGAGAAACAGGCGACAAAGGTGCTAAAGGAGAGAAAGGTAAACACCTGGCTTGTTTCCTTTATGGCGGCAGCATTATATATACACATAAATATGTATACATATGTACATATACTGAGCTCTGACGGTTTAGGTACATGCTTTTCAACCCAAAGGTACATGGTTTGGATCCACCAGCTGTTCCAATGGAGAATGATGGGCAGTCTCCTCCCATGCTATTTACTGACTCTGAAAACCTGCTGGAGGGTCAGCTATGTGTCGATTCCAATTCAGTGGCACATAGCAACAACATACATATATACACACACATATATATATACATACATGTATTACATGTTGTTTATCAATAAGTGATGCTACTTTCAAAGGTAGTTAATTGGATGGGAAGAGATTACTCATCTTTTCTTCACAGAACAATTGGTCAATTTAAACCACATGTCTTTGGGTTGGCGGTACAACCCAACCCCCTCTCCCCACATCTTTAAGTCTTTTTGGGGTACGTGACTCCACAGGTAACCTAGATGCTTTGGTCTGTTTTGTTCGGACCATTCCAAAAACGAGGAGCAAATGTTTAACTAGGAAAAGGTAAGTAAAAAAAGACTCATTTCCATCAAGTCAGAACCGACTCAGAGCAGACCATGCTGGGGGTTGCCTGAGGCTGCAAACTGCGCTGGAGGAGATTGTCCATCCTTCTCCCACAGAGCAGCTGGTGCATTCTAACCCCTGAAGGTCATCACCTTTGAGTTAGCCTCTCCTGGCCACCAGAGTGGGGAGAATTCAGGTGGGTTGTTGTCGTTGTTTTGTGCCATCAAGTCGCTTGCGACTCATAGCGACCCTATGTACAACAGCCCTAAACCCTGCTCTATCCTGTGCCAATCGCACTGTCTCTGACACTCCCATCCCAAT